TGATCCCGCTCAACATGATCTTTTTAAGCATGCCCAGGAAATGAATCGAGATGGTTACATGCGTATGTTCAATTTTTACAGAAGTGGTCTTATTCGATTATATAATATTTTGCACGAAGATGTTTATAAAACTAAAGAAAAAGTTACAAAGGGAAGACGGGTTAAGGATTTAGTTAGTGTTTCAGCTAAAGAATATTTATTAGCTATTAAAAAAGGTTGAACCCTTTAGACTTACCCGATCTTATTAATGTTAAACGAACTTCTATATATAAATATAGCGAAAAATTTTCGATCTACTGTATTAGAAAATTTTAATAATAAACTCTACTTTGTATTTCTAAGTTACCATATAACCAGCTACTAATACTAACCTGATCCGTTAAAAAAAAATGAATAGCTTGTCTTCCTGGAAATAATTCGGGCAGTAAAGCTAAAAATAATACACCTTTTTGACCCTGTAATATATAAAAAAGCAAAGTAAAAAATAAAATAAGAAGGCTACTTGTAAACGAAACAGAGCCTGTGGAACAAGTTTTATTAATGCATAAAAGTCGAATTTTTAAAGAGTTTTACAAGTTTTCTTCTTACGTTCTAAAAGTAAGTATATCAAATTTTGTGTAACGTTACTATATAAAATCGATCTGCGTGACATATTCCCTGACTGGTAAGATTTTGCTTGACCCCCACACTCTAAAATATTACCTAATAAATATCAGCACTCTAACCTTATTTCTTTCACAATATCTAGCAACTATATAGCCCACTCTACTATACAATATCTGCTAAAATTTACAAATAAATCTGACTACAAAGTAGAACTACTTACTATCTAGTGTTCAAAGATAAGCCAGCTTATCATGGCTTGCTGCAGCTTAATGCGGCTTATCACATGATAAATTTGAATTTATCACGTAATAAGCTGCATTAAACCGTAGCAAGCCATAATAAGCTAGCTTATTTTTGAACACTACTACTATCTAACAAACTTAACAAGTACTACTACTATACAATACAATACTTACTAATTACTTATTATTTTTAATACAAAAAAAAATATAGTATTACTATATTTATCCAATATGTAAACCCTATACAATATACTCTGAAATGATTTTGATAGCCAATTTTTGACTTATACCTGGATATCTAAGTATGATTTTACCATACTTCTGTACCCAAAGAAACATAATAAAACATATTCATATCTATCAATATATAGAAAAAGTTAATAGAAACTAGACAAATTGTTTCCAAGTAAATTTTTTTTAGACTATAAATTAAAATATCTCAACAACTATTAAACCAAACTTGATAAAAATTTTTTTATTTTAATTCTATTTAATTATAGAATTAAAATAAAAAATTTTTTCAAGTTTGGTTTAATAGTTGTTAAGATATTTTAATTTAAAGTTTTAAAAAAACTTACTAAAAACAATTTGCCTGGTTTCTATTGACTCTCCCCCATATTCTCCTATATATATACTCAGAGTACTAAAAAAATACCCAGAGTATATACAGTATATCAGGTAAATATAGTATATTTTTTTGGCTAAATAAATATATAGACCACAATACATTATCAACTTCATATTAGATTCATAGTCTAGAGATTATTGATCTACTTAGCTAAAATTTAGATCTGAAGTAAACTAGCTTTATCTCTATTTCCTCCAAACATATATGTAAACCATGCAAATTTTATTATAACTATTGCATATTAAGTAATAAAAGAACTGAGAAAAGAACCTCTTTTAAAAATTTTTTTTTTAAAATTATAAACAAAATTGTTTGCAAAACATATTAAAAAATATAGTATTAAAAGTTTGAAATTTTTGCTTTAAAATTTTTTTAAAAATTTTATATATTTTTAAACAAAAAAATTTTTTATTTTTAATAATAAAAATCTTAATTTTTATAAGTAAATTACTAAAATTATAATACTGTAGTAAATAAACTTAATAATATTATTAAGAACTATGAAATTACAAAAAATTATACTACGTAGCAGTTAATCATGTTACTAATTATGAATAATGATTATGTAATTGGCCGTTTAACTATTTAACAATTGTACTATATATTTAATCATTTAAATGCAATCATCAGAAACTTGAAATCAGCATAAGTTCGAAGTATAAAATTTTTATAACACAATAATGTATGAGTGTTGCCAATTAAAACCAGGAAGTGAATATTTAAGTTTTACTGTGACGAGCTTAACTCTGAAAAATTATAATATTGCATAATTGAATCATAGATATGATACTGCCTAAACATTGATAAGTTTTAAATAACCACGCAAGGCATTAAACAATTAGTAAACGATTAATCGTATAAAATTTAAAAAACGGTTAAGCAATAATTTACTGATTTTTAATCGTTTATAAAATTTCTTACTCGTTTAACCATATAATAAACGGTTAAACAAATAATGGTTTCAACCCTTACTTATCTTCTTACGTCACCTTCTTTTTCACTTCATTGATATACTTTTTATGATATTAATATTTCACACTACAAATTCAAAACACTATGTATACCAGGGTTAATTAGAAAGTTGGTTAGGTTTAGAGATGTATCTTGCGCGAGATGACAAAACTATCGCGCCCGCGACTTGCCATACCTCGCGCGAGATAGGCTATATGATTAAGAAAATTTTCTTATGGCACGCGCGAACTCGCACTATGATTCTCGCGCGAGGTATGTAAATGTACGCTAGGCTTATCTCGCGAGAGAGAAATCTCTAGTCATGCCATGTTTTAATCTTATAACGATAATCTTAGTTTTCTATTTATTATTGTTATTATAAAATAAATATAGTAACAACTTTCAATATCATACTTATTATCCTACCGAACAGTGTTGGTCGATAATCTAAGTCCTAACATTTTTTTATATGACCTTGGCATACAACTTTTTGGTCATAAGTCATATCGGTCATATCAAACATTAATAAAAATTTTTTTTTTTACTATGATTCTTACTATATTAAAGGTCTTAAAGTCATATAAACCTTCGTTATGACAAAATGACCTATGACGGGTAGTAAAGGTCATATAGGTCATTTTAAGGTGATCGGCCAACACTGCTATCGAATATGTGTGTTTTACATTTTCTTTTTACCTCTGGCGTTAGGTACCCATATTTTTATGGTGAAATCTGCAGAACAGCTCGCTAGTATCGGCTCAAAAGGATGAAAATCTACCGCATAAACGAAATCAGTATGACCTTCTAAACGTTGTAATAATTCACCGGTTCCCTAATTTATTAAACAGTGAAATAATTAATAATAAATTAATTAACTCAAAAAAAAAAAGAAGAGATTACCTGTGGGCCACCAACGTTAAATAAATACGCATATGGATCCGCACTACCCGTAGCTAATAATAAACTTGATTCAAATGATTTATCTCTTTCATAGCTAATTTGAAATTTGTCGAATAATTAACAACTTGCTCGTTGATTAGTAAGAAACATGGCAATAAATAATGTCACGGATGATGGTGAAATCGGATGATCGTGAAATCAAACCCTATTTAATATACGATTTTTAAAATTTTTAGTGTATATTTTTTTATACTTTTTTCGATTAGGATTTAGGGTTAGAGTTTATAATAAAAGAGTATAGGTGGGTTTTAGTAGGGTTTATATTTTTAAATTAAGGCCCCCAGATTTCACGATCATCCAATTTCACCATCATCCGCGACAAATAATATTCATACAAGACATTGTCAACAGAATCAATTTGTTTCGGTACATCGTAGATATCTTTTGTTTGTATTCTTTGTGCGGTAGAATGTTGATCTGTACATAAAGAAACATTTAACATTTATGTATTTTTTATATAAACATTTTGTAACAACCCAAACCGGTTTTATTGAAAAGCATACAATCTTTTCCAAGGAAAAATGAGCTTCTAATTGGCCATCCCTTGTTCTTGTATCCTTTTAATATATGTATCAGTTGCGGTTGGATTTTAAGTGGCTCTATTCCGCGATCATAAATTCTTATTACTTGATAATTTAGAAATCATGGTCAGATTAGATCAATTAATTTCGGTCCTAAAAGTTGTTTACATCCACATACAATTATCATAACTATTAGTGGCCATATATCGCGGTTCTTCGCCATCTAAAAGAGTAAATAAGACGGGTAAGATTCACCAAATAATAATAAATTTAAATGATAAATAAAATCACCAAGACACTTCTTTGATATAGCAATATGAGAAACGGGTTTTTTTGTTGCTTCGTTTAAAAATGACTGAAATGCAGAACCTACAATAAAGATAGCGTTGAAATTTATGTATTTCAAAGGTTCTCCGATGGTTCTTCAATTAGAAACTCGTGGATAATACTAACCAACTCTAATATCCCAAGTTTTCACATAACCCAACGAATCACCTGTGATAATATTTTGGCCATTCCGGCAAATATAAAGAGAATTTATCATCCCATCATCCTTAAAACTCAATGCACTTTCAGGTTTCCGAATGTCAATGATTGCCAAAACTTTACGAGAAGACCCGCTTACAAAGATATTGTTATCTAGTAGAAGACACAAATAAAAGGCAAATAAATAAATGATATACAAAATTGACAGGCGGTAAATAGTAGTAAATGAATAAATACCCTGTGGGTTAAACATTACACATTGAACAAATCCTTCGCTCTCGTACGTATGTGTATATTTACTTGTCTCAATGTCCCAAAATTTACATGTTTGATCATACGCCCCTGACAATACGGCACTAGAATCATTTGACCAACACACGTCTGAAACATTGAGTGTGTGTCCTTTTAAGCAAGCTTGCTAGATTAAATGTATATAAGTTTACGTTTTTTTTGTTTTTTTTTTTGACTGAAATAATGATAAACACTTAGGGAAGTCAGATATTATGTAATATATATAATGTTATTTATTGTGCCTCTTTACTTTCCATGAAGATTTTTTTTCAACGTTTATTTTTTTCTTAGTATGAACTTCTCTCTCAAGATATTACGCAATGTCTGTCATTTCCCTTAATATAGAATATTTTACCTCTTTTTGTAGAGATATGGCGTCCCATATTCGTACTGTTTTGTCAAAGGAACCAGAAGCAAGCATCTTCCCACATGGAGAAAATTGTATTGCAGATACACCACCACCATGACCCTAAAATATTTATTGAACATCAAGAAACAATATTAAACATACTTTAATGCATATCAAGGAAAAAAAATTTTTTTTTAATAATTTAATAATTAATATTTTTTAAACCTTAAATTCTGATTTTTGATGAAACGTCCTCCCTTCTCGAATATTTTCACGGGTATTATTTTCTACATTAAAAAATCCATCGTCGTTATAGTTATTAAATATTAAATCAAAGAATCTTATCTAAACAATAACCCGAAATATACCTGTTGAATTTCCCAAGTTAATTTCACATTCTTGTGATGGCTCTTCAAAATCAATCATAAATGGACTAATCTTTTGTTGATGCGCTGCGGCTGCCGCTGTATATTTCACCGTCAAATCGTATATAGATTTTTTGAGTAACATATTTTCCTTTTCAAGTATATCAACTTTTTGTTTTAAGGTCTTATTTTCTCTGGTAAGTTTATCAATATTATCTCGTTCGGATGAAATTGAGGTTGTGGCTTTTTTTATTGGTGGTTCCATGAGACAAAAGTTTATATATTATAGATGGATTATGGATATTTGGAAATGAAGGTATATTTATTATTCTATTTTTAAAAACAAAAAAAAAAAAATTCACTCGTATCACAACCAAAAAAAATGTGTTACGTACTATTAAATTTACGTTATCGGGCTTCAAAGTCCGCATTCTGACGATCATCAACATGAAGATATAAAAGGATTAGCGACGGTTTCATATGTTTTTTCTGCTTAAAAAAAAAACTTTAAAAATGTCGCTTACTGTTTTCATTATTCGTCATGGCGAACGTGTAGATGCAGTCGATCCTAATTTCAGATATACATCACCTACACCATATGATACGCCATTAACATCTAAAGGTAAAAGACAAGCTAAAAGGACCGGGGCTTATATTCATGATATTCAACTTGAGACTGTGGTTAAGGAAATTAATCGTCAAAGAAAGGTAGAATATGTAATTTATACTAGCCCATTATTAAGAACTGTAGAAACAGCTATCGGAATTGCTGAAGGTATTGCTTCCAATCGACCAAATTTGCCAATTGACTCTGTACAATTTAAAATTGAACCTGCTGTTGTAGATTGGCATTACCAGAGTTATTATAGAAAAGCTATTCCTAACAGTATTATCGAATCTCGTATTGAAGAGTTACGTCTTCTTATCAAACAAGATCAAGATACAGAAGATCAACAACAACCTCGACTTGGTTTTAAAATAGATTTGGAATATGAACCAATATCGACTGAGTTACCAGATTATCCAGAAGGAATAATGGATGCTTTAGCACGTTGTGGCAATGCATTTGAAAAAATCACTTCTCCATTTATTGAGCGTCTTCATCAAGATTTATCAAAAGACATAGTTTTGATAATCGTAACACACGGTTGGTGTTTTAATGCTATTCAAAGTGCATGTTCTAAAAGTAGTCCTTGGGCTGAAGTCGGATATTGTGCGGTAACTCGAGCTAGGTGGATACCGAAAGATGAAAATAGTGAAGATTTCTATATAGAAAAGGATGCACCTGATGACAATAATTCAGCTGGAAAATGGATTTTAGATATAATTGCTAATATAGAACATTTAAAGACATTAAAGTATGAATGAATGCATTTGATCAGCTGGTACTGTAATATATGTAATTGTATGATTTTTTTTTTTTATTTTTGAACGTACTACATACGTACTAGAAAACCCAATATACAGTAATAATATGATATGCATAAATAATTATATCAGTTAAATATCTATCCAAGGTTTTTTGTTTGAATTCTAAAAATTTATAATATTCAAATAAAAAAAATTTATATTCTATAATTTACATAACATCGAAAAAATGATTAATGGCCTATGGTATATGTTTTCGTGCCAACATATGTATTTTAGAATTGTCATTTTATAAGTCATTTTAAAATTAGCTCTGTTAAAATATAGTCGGATGGAACAATGTTTAAATGCGCAACTTTGTTTATGCAGTTTCTAAATTCATATTCTATAAATACGTGTTTTAAATTTTTTTTAGATTATTTGAGTGATTAAGTTTTTTTAAAAAGATATATTTGAAAAGTTTAATTTTTTTTTTTGATACTGTATTAGTTCTCTTGTTAAAAAATATATTTGAGGTTTGTGTTTAAGTTTTATATTATAAATTTTAGAAATACAGATATGATAAATAAAAAAGTTTTTAATGAAATTGCTTAAGTATAGTTTAGAGCATGTTTGTTATTTTTTAAAAAAATACAAGAGAGAGATATATATTTTGAAGCTTTATTAAAATACTATAAAAATAACTTGTTATAATATTTGAGTATTGTAATACAGAATTAATATTTATTAAAAAATTATAAAGCACTCGTGCTATTAATATTTAAATATCTAATATAATATTATATTACTATTTTATTTTATTTTTAAAATTAAAATAATTAGTTATTTCTGATGATTACTTGAACCAAAATTTTCAGCTAAAGAAAAACCAAAACTACTTGTTGGAGAGTCATAGTCTACATAGTGGTTTGTCTAGAGATCAACTGCTTTTCTAGAGAACTTCTCTAAAAAGACATTTGGCATGCAAATCAAGAGCAAGATAACTGGCAAAAGGTGCCCTTGTGCAAAAAATCTTGGTACTATTGGGGTTTTACTCTATTAATGAAGCTATCTGACCATTATTTCAAAGAAGAACACTGGGAAAACAACAAAAAGCTCTGCTTTTTCAATGCACTCTCTTGAAAATTTTAAAAATACTTGCAACTCTTTCCTCTCATTTCTGTTTTTCTATCGGTCTTCTAAAATTTTTTTCTCAAAAAGTGGAGATTTGGTTTACCCTCTTTAAAAAATCAGCATTGTTTATTTTCCTAATTTAGACATACTCAGATATACTTAGTAGAATGCAACCATGTAATGCATCTGTTTACAGTTACAGTGCTACTTTATAGCAGTAAAGAATATTTAATATTCTCAATGTTCTCAAGAACATTCAAAAAAATTTAAGAACACTGCATTTAGAAATTATGTTTTTTTTTAAAAACAAACTAAGAACATAAAATTTATAAGTTAGAGAGCTGACAGAAATCAGCTGATTTTTTGGTGGATGGGTGGGTTAGCCTAGTGTTCCGCACGGATCGAATCGGATGGATATTTTTAAAGATCTGGGTCTGATTCGAAAAATCAAATCGAATTCATGTTTAGATCCAGATTTGACTCTAAAGATCCGGATCCGATATAGTTACACAATTAACAGTATATGATTTGTTGACATTATGTATAATTACTCTGGGTCACCCACTGAATGATTGTACTTTTGAGAATGTAACATTTCACTAATAAAAATCACCAGGTTTAAATGCTGAAAATAATCAACTAAAAAGGCTGATTGAGATGTTAACATGTAAGTTTTGATCTTGAAAAACCTAACTTAGAAATCTTGTCTGCGTTTTACTTTAATAATAATTAACTTACAGTAATATTTACTATACATATTGTTGGGTAAGCAGTTATAATCATGGTTGGGTTTACTTTAGTAGCAGATCAATATAGTATATACGAGTGGTATTGCACTCATTATTATATAAACTAAGGGTTATAGCAGATATTTAATACGTAGTATTTGTGGTAAATGAAAATAAAATAGAATTATGATTTGAATATAAAATTTAATATAAAGCTTCGCTAATAATAATAAAAGTCTACAATACTTCAAAATTTAAATTTTGATTGGTCAATGATCATGTTTTAATCGATATAAATTAGCCAATCATACGAACTTCGTCATATGACAGATTACCCGGATAACTCTCATGCAGGTACAATCACTAAATTAACCAATCCGAGTCTTCTAAATACAGCTAGTCAGCGTGAATAGATCTAGCGGATCTTTGGATCGGATCCTTAATATGGATTTGAATTTGGCGGATTCTATAAATCATGGATCTGGGACCGATCCGACCACCGAATTCAGATCAGATCTAGATCTTCGGATCGGATCTGCGGAACACTAGGTCAGCCAAAGTGTTAGGTGTAATTCTGGCTGGAATTATTAAATTCCGGCCAAAATTATATTATAAATTTAGGGAATTGATATTTCCACACCCTTTTTTGATAATGCCACACCCCTATAGATCATTTTAATTTTTTTAACTTTTTTTTTTAACTTTGATTAAATATATCTCGGCACTCACCTGACCAAATTTGATCAACTTTTTTTTATTTTAATTGTAGAAAGCCTTAGAATTCAAAGAAAAAAAAGTTTATCAAATTTGGTCTGGTGGATATTGAGATATCTTCGATCAAAGATTTTATAAAATTTAAAACATTTATCAAATATAAGCTACAGCAAATTGTTTACAAACTTTGATCGATGATATCTCGGCACCCACCTGACCAAATTTGATCAACTTTTTTTTATTTTAATTGTATAAAGCCTTAGAATTCAAAGAAAAAATATTTGGTCAAATTTGGTCAGGTGGGTGCCGAGATATCTTCGATCAAAGATTTTGTAAAATTCAAAACGTCTATCAAATATAAGCTGTAGCAAAATTGTTT